ACAAGAACAGAAGAACTCACCATCAGAATACAAGAACAGAAGAACTCGCCATCAGAATACAAGAACGGAAGAACTCACTATCAGAAAACAATATCCGAAGAACTCACCATCAAAATACAAGAACAGAAGAACTCACTATCAGAATACAAGAACAGAAGAACTCACCATCAGAATACAAGAACGGAAGAACTCACTATCAGAATACACGAACGGAAGAACTCACTATCAGAAAACAAGATCCGAAGAACTCACCATCAAAATACAAGAACAGAAGAACTCACTATCAGAATACAAGAACAGAAGAACTCGCCATCAGAATACAAGAACAGAAGAACTCACCATCAGAATACAATAACGGAAGAACTCAACATCAGAATACAAGAACGGAAGAACTCACCATCAGAATATAAGAACAGAATAACTCGCCATCAGAATACAAGAACAGAAGAACTCACTATCAGAATACAAGAACAGAAGTACTCACTATCAGAATACAAGAACGGAAGAACTCACCATCAGAATACAAGAACGGAAGAACTCACCATCAGAATACAAGAACGGAAGAACTCACTATCAGAATACAAGAACGGAATAACTCACCATCAGAATACAAGAACGGAAGAACTCACCATCAGAATACAAGAACGGAAGAACTTACCGTCAGAATACAAGAACAGAAGAACTCACCATCAGAATACAAGAACGGAAGAACTCACCATCAGAATACAAGAACGGAAGAACTCACCATCAGAATACAAGAACGGAAGAACTCACTATCAGAATAAAAGAACGGAAGAACTCAACATCAGAATACAAGAGCGGAAGAACTCACTATCAGAATACAAGAATGGAAGAACTCATTATCAGAATACAAGAACTGAAGAACTCACTCTCAGAATACAAGAACGGAAGAACTCGCCATCAGAATTCACGCCATCCAATACTTGAGGTACTCGTACAGTAAACTTTAAAGTATCCTACATAAACATAGTATCATAGATAAACACCCATTATCGGAGTGAAACCTTTGGTGGCGAAGATTTTGAAGTGAACCAAACTATACTATGCTATACTGTATTTTCTCGATCTTTGTGGTATCGAGTACTTTTCAACCTATCGCAGAGGCTGAAAGAACATTCAAAACTTGGTCCGCATGCATTTGATAAATTATACGTCAGTATATAAATATTACTTTATGCCAAACACTACACAGTATACTTTAAATAATATCAATTCCAACTGATTGCTATTTTCTGTTCGGAAAAATGTCTGGCATTGGATCGAAAAACTGTAATTTGGTCGGAAAACGTCCGACACTCATTCACACACTGATAAATATACATGTATAATTTTAGGTCTACGTGAAATCTGGGGGTAAGATGGATTCTCTGTGGAGTCTTTCTGGAGACCAAGGTAACGGATGGCATCAAGCACAAGTGGCTGTGAACAATCAAATGGCGTCATATCAGGTGAGCATGTACATCAGTGAACACCAAATGTAACTGAATCTAAAGACAGCAGATATAGGTGGCCCAGCTGGGTATAGAATTAGAAATACCTGCTTGTTCAAGTGATAAATATTTCTGAGGTTCATTTACCAGTTAACGGAAACGACCGCACTTTTCTACTTTTTTTGCAGTTTGTAATCGAAGGTGTACGTGGTAAAAGTTTCATTGGAGACATTGCAATTGATGATATCTCTCTCATGGATTCATGTCCTGCAAGAGGTGAATCACTTGTGTACTCATAGCTATGTAGGTCGAAGTACCATCAATCTTTGACAAAATAGAGGAGGAAAGCTGCATCGGGTCGTTCGTGCAACGTATAGGTTATAACGTATTTTTAAGATTTTAGAAAAGACTAACTTCGGCAGACAATATGTTGAAGGGATTTGTTGATGGAAATTTCGAGTTGATTTTTTATACATTTATTCGACCTAACCAGGAGCAGTTGCGAAAAATGCAACTATAAGCCCTCTGGCAGGAATCGAACCTACGGCCCTGCGATTCCGGTGCAGTGCTCTAACCAACTGAGCTACAGAGTCAATGACTCTATCTTTTCCTGTGTACTATGTATGGCTATTTCATTCGCCCGAGGTAAGTTTACTTCAGTTAAACCGGTTACTGTAGGTAGAGTGTTTACTAATGTAAGTAGAGTTTGGTTGGTTCTGTGCTTTGAGGGTTTTCCCCATGCGCAGGTACTTGGGTTTTCTCCCTCAACAAAAACTAACCCTTAGTCCTTAGTTGTCAAACACGTATATCATGAGCCTCTGACTCGGGTGAATCGGGCAACGATACCATGTCCCTGTGTATATATGATGATTGTGATAATTCTGTTGATGCATAACTACTAAAAAAAGAAATTCAGTCAACCATCACAAATCAGTGTGTGTCCAACGAAAAATATTACAATGGCATATATAATAGTCGACATTCATGTTTCAAATGGATAAACCGATATACACTGCTAGATTGACATGTTCCATTGCTAGAAAATATCCGGCAGCGCCAACAGCACCACTGCAAGGAAATTTTTACTGACAAACTATAATTGCATGATATTATCTTACACCTTACAGGAAATTTTTGTCATCTTACATATATACTGGAATGCTATATAGGCCGTGGGCTGATGTGCGAAAAAGTGCCTAGAAAAGCAATTTCGTGGCATCCCCCTGGGAAATAGATTTTCTGTGGTGCAATTCATAGAACCATAGAAGCTTAATTACCACAAAAAGTTCACAAGCAAAAAACTTGCGCAACACCGAGAAAATGGGTGATCAGTGATTATCCTCTATTAAATTGTATTACAGCAAGAAAATGTAAAATTTTGTAGTCAATTACAACAAAAATGACTTGCAGAATCAGAAAGCTTACAAAAACCTACATATAAGACATTTAAACAGATTTTTGGTATCTAAAATTTTTTTCGAGTTATACGCTGTCAAAAACGCGTTTTTGACCTAGTACCCAGTCCTTATTGCGACATTTTATGTCCAATTTTCACATTTAAAACAGCAATAACTCAAAGACTATTTGAAAAATCAAAAAACTGTTTAAAAGTCTTACATGCGGTTTTTTGTACGTTTTCCGATAATGCAAGTCATTTTTATTGTAATTGAATGCAGAATTTCCCATTTTTTTGATGTAATACAATTTAATAGAGGATAATCATTGATCACCCATTTTCTCGGGATTGGGCAACTTTTTTGCTTGGAAACTTTTTTTGGTAGTGATGTACCTATATGCCTTTCAAATAAACCCCAAACGAAGTATTTCCCACATGGGTGCCACGAAGCGAAATAATTTTGCCCAACAGCCCACGGCCTAATATAATTTACTTATTGCTTAAAACTTCCAAAAGGGTTTTGCAAGTCGAGATTGTCTTGGCAGCCTACGTTCTCTGAAATCTACATATGCAGGAAGTTTTATATTTGTCTTATACAGGACATTTTTATTTTTGGATTTTGCTGCCAGGAAGAGAAATATATTTTCTAGGCATGCCGATATATAACCAACCGAAAAAATTAAATACATTATGCTGAAAATCCCGTTCACCTTTAGGGAAGCTAATATGAAATATTTGGGCGAAAATTATATATACATATTTTAGATCTGACTGGGAGCAGCTGCAGTAAATGCAACTACTATAGGCCCTGTGACAGGAATCGAACCTGCAGCCCTGTGATTCTGGTGTGGTGCTATGACCACTCATGAGTTGCAGAGTCCAGTTGTCATTTTATATGATAATAAATACAAAGACAAGATAGATTGTGTTTCCATACAATTATTGAATTGCAAAAGTAAAAGTTTGTTCGGCTGTCATCCTCACGTTGCCGTCGTCCATGTATAAGCTTTCTAATTGGAGTACTGTAAATTGTTGGAAATTGTGACTAGTAATGTTGCTGTGAACTGTGGTACAAAACGTTCAATCTTGAAATGTTGGTACTAGTCTGGTTTAAGTAAACGAAGTAATGCCCAAATTCATTCATCACCCATTATTTCGATACTCCCAACTAGTGTCTTCATCGTGGGTGATCTAAAATACAAAAACTAGTATGGCTGCATATCCCTGATGGTGATACTTGACTGGTTTATGGAAACGTTTTATGGAAACGTATTTGTTGTACCTGATGGTTGATATGAGCTCGTATACTTCAAATTCGAAGCCTGAGTACCTGATGTATTTTCAGTGGAACAAAAGTATTTGTGATCTTGACTTTTAAATGTTTAGATAAATTCTTTTGCGACTTTGAAGATCTTAACAGTTGCCAATGGACTCAAGATAAAAGCGATGATTTCGATTGGACCAGAAATCAAGCTTCTACACCATTAGAAGGCACTGGTCCACTTACAGATCATACCAAAAGTTCAGGTAAGTGTTATATTCTGTTCATGGTCGAGATACACATGCACTGCCATCACTTTCATCACCATCATATTCGCTATCATTATCGTTATCACTTCCACCAGCGCTATCACCTGTTCACCAGCATTACCACCACCCATACTTATCAACATCACCACCACAAACATCATCATCACAGATATCACCACCTTCATTACCACCTTCAAAGTTCTATATCTGCTCACTTTTTATTTAAAGATTCTTGTATTCATACATTTTTACTTGAAGTATATTATATTTCAATTTTTAAAACGTAAATCCATTACATTGTTTTACCGGATAGGAAGAACAGTTTCGAACTGATAGCGCTATTCAGTTAATATTAAAAAAGTTAGTTTAGTTTAGATTTCTTTCTGTAGTAACACACTGGATCAATAAAAAACGATTCTTACTGGACCTCTAGGAAGAACAATTTCGAATTGATAGAGTTATCCAATATAAATATATAGTGTTAGTTTAGGTTTCCTCCTGTAGTAGCACTGGATGAATAACAGATGGGCCTCACTGAACCTTTAGAGAAAACAGTTTGAAGTGATAGTATAAGTAAAGTTACTTTAGTTTGTACTCGAACTTCGAGGGTTTTTTCTCCCGGTCCTCCAGTTCTTCTCATAAAAAAACAACTCTTAGAAATTAGTTGTGAAGTACGTGTATCGCGAGCTTCTGACTCGGGTGAATTGGGCAACCACACCCTGTATGTAATCGTCATTAAATAAATCATAGTCATTCTTATCAAAAAACAGGAGGCAATTTACGAAACTGCCCCGAACATTGATCAGAAGTTTTACGAAGACGTCGCCAGAAATGCAAACAAGTCTGAAGACATATCAGTTGAAGGTCAGTAATATATCACAGATTAGGTACTATTTACAACATGAGCGGCCGTGTTGTATGGGATATACAAACTGGAGCCGGAGGAGAGAGAGCTTGTATATCCGATACAACACGGACACGAATGCTGTAAAAGGCTTGTGAAACGTCTCGATGAGAACATTCGTATTCTTCAACAATTTAAAATAAATTAATGATATGAATTTAGTGAGAAAATTGAACTTAAATTTTATGTAAATCAGCATGATTTTGTATCACATATACAAATGCCTTCACGGTCATGGTTTCGTTTCTGTTTTCTTCATAACTTGTTAATGAGTTTCGCAAATATTAATATCTAATCTGTGGTAATATGTTCAGGGACGTCGCTATAGGGTGGGGTGGGGGTGGGGTTGTGTAACACCTCTGGCTAATTCAAACGTTGGTCAAAGTTGGTCAAAATGGAACTCATATTTGCCCAAAGATGGTCAAAATGGAACTGATATTTGTTTAAAATTGAACGTAAAACTCGGGAAAATTTGGTCAAAATTTGGGATAAAAGATGGTCGAAGTTGCTCAAAGTTATGAAATCGTTCGCAATTTTAACAATTTTAAACTTTTGTAATGTTTGCGGTGAAAAAATTGGAAGCGTTGCTTATCTTGGGGGAAAAATATTGAATATGATTATGTTAGTCCGGAAAAAGTTTTTCGACCATGCTTATTTTAGTCTGGAAAATTTTTTTGAACCCACCCCCGTCGACAACATTTTCGGCAAAAATTTGTACGACTTGGTCAAGATCCTAAGAAATGTTGGTCAAAACATGACGACCCCCACGTTGATGGTTGGCTGCGCTGACGTCTCTGAATATGTTTAAAACCAAATTAACCTTGGTATGTGTTATATTTGCTCATTCTAAGAAGAAATGTAAAATATCTTGGTTGAAAAGAAACTCATCGTGATGATTGTTTCACTGTAGAACGAGGATGAAAGCTGATAAAGGGAATGAAGATTTAACTCCGCTCGTGTTTTTACCGCCAACTTCATCATCAACTCTCGTAAAGATTCTTTCATTAACTCTACATCAACTTTGAGCTGCTTCAAATTAGAGTTCATGAGAGTTTATGTTGTGCTTGGTAATATCCAGTTAACACTCATCAGTGTTCAGCTGGTTCAAATTTTGAGTAGAGTTCATGAGAGTTTTCGTTACGCTTGGTAATATCCAGTTAACTCTCATCAGTATTCAGCTGGTTCAAATTTTGAGTAGAGTTCATGAGAGTTTTTGTTACGCTTGGTAATATCCATTTAACTCTCATCAGTGTCAGCTGGTTCAAATTTTGAGTAGAGTTCATGAGAGTTTTTTTTGCGCTTGGTAATATCCAGTTAACCCTCATTAGTTTGTGCTGGTTCAAATTTTGAGTAAAGTTCATAAGAGTTTTTGCGTGTTGAGCTGGTTCAAATTTTGATGAAAGTTGATGTGAGTTCTCGCTACGTGCTGTAATATCCAGTCAACTCTCATGCAATTGTTGTTATCACTGCAGACTCTCACTGGCCAACTCTTATCAACTTTGTCGTTTGACCAGGGTTTATAATCTTTTGTTTCTAAAGGCAGGACATCAGATCACGAAGATGTTGGTGGGCCATCAAATGCACACAAATTTCCTGGAGACACTGAACTTAATGAACGACCCGATACCTTGAAAACTGGGGCGACAAGCGATGCTGATGATCAGGAATTTTTCGAGGAGGATGACGAATACGTAATACCGGCTTCAGGGGAACCACAACACGAAACACCAGGTCAAAATGAAATCTATGAAGAGCCCAAATTATCGCCAGAGAATCCTGTTTATACTGAGCTTGATCTGAACGGCAGAAATACAACGGAAGATGGTACCTATCAGAAACTAGTAAAGCAAGACTCAGATTATGTTATAGCAGCTCACGAGAGAAGAGAGTCGTATCAAGACATCAAAATGGGAGAAAACTTTCCAGACTACACGGAGCTGGATCAAAGCAAACGCGAAACAGAAGTCTAATCTTATGCCAGTTCAAGACTCGCAGAACTGAGTTCAGCCCGTTGTATTTAGTTATTCATTGTACAATCTGAGTTTCCCCTTCTGGTTCTTTGGCGCCTGGTTCAGACTTCTGATTTGACTACCGCTACCTCTCACCACTGAAATAAATATAACTGGAACGCTACCTCCTGGAAATTTGAAACCAATCTTGAAGGCCAGTCCCAGTCTTTTCACGCATGGGTAGCGCACGGTCAATCCGTCAACATGAATATGTATTCTTCAAGACCGGCTCAAAATTTATAAAAATGCTTTTTAACAGCGCTGAAACTTTCTATTGATGCATTTATTCAGGGAAAACTTCCTAGTTGACTTTACTTTTATTTTATTTTTATTATAAAAACGGCATGCTCGCCCCTGAACTGGTCTCGCGAGAGAATCACGAGCATAAACACGCGTGTCTTGACCGCTAGATTTGGCTTCAAGAAAAAGATAGGCAGTTTATTTGAAGGTAGTTCCAGTTATATTCATTTCACTCACTGACTTGCACAACGCATTTGATTGGTTAATCGTGTAGATTGAACGCATCTGATTGGTTAATGGTAGCGAAAGTCAAACTGAACCTCAATTAACAGTGAATAATAGAAAATATTTACAAGAATAGGGCAAGGAATTTTCTAGAAATCATAAGGTTTTTATTTAAGGTTTCTAGGTTATGAATTAAAACTGGTTCATAAAATAGTTAAGAAAAAAAAAGATAGTGAAAGGTATAAATAGCGATGAATATAAGAAAGTTTTAAAAAGTAGTTCTGAAATGGAATAAAATAAGTTTTAAGAAGAAAAACTGTAGAACATAGTCATAATTTATTGCCAGTATGATTTCATTTAGTAATTAGTTGAATTTAAATGAAGGAAATACTTTTTTGTTGTTTAAACTTTAATTAATACTTCGAAAGAGGTTTTGTGTTGGAATATTTTTCCACATAGATCTGAAGTATTGAATAGTTATAAATAAATTTGTGCAGCTCAAAAAATATTACTGTGTAGTAGCGAGTTTACTACATTTTAGTAGATATTTAAAAATTTTATGAATTTGTAATGCTTAAATACATGAACTTCCCCTTGACTTGTCATTTCAGTTTATTTCTAAGCCACCCCCCCCCCGCAGCTACCGTTACTATGACGACATGGGAGTTTACAAAGCGCCTACTTCTGCACAGTGGTATATCCCATCTTACATAAAAATGGCGGCCTTGAAAACGGAAGTATGACGTTGCAAGCAGCTATTAACTATTCACTGATTGGCTGATATTTAAATGTCTCGCGTGGAGCGTGGGCGTCGTGGCAGTACGCCACTGATCAGTATTGATTCAACTTGAAGGAGTTCTCTATCATGTGATTTATACGACATTTAATACATCAGCACGAACATACTGAAAACCACTGGGGTGGGTTTTTTCGGAGTTTTTGATACTCTAAACTTCTAACGCATTTTAATATTTGTCCGGCCCCAATTCAAGCGAATGTGAGAATTTTAAAACACTTAAGTGATCCCACGTTGCAAACACAACGAGTACAAAATCAAACAGCAACTGAGTCAGCAACCTTGGACAACTCCCTTTAAAAACTAGCCACTTTTAGAAAAAAAAAGCCTTTTTCGAGCAACTTTTTATGATTTTTTGAACAACTTTTTTCGACATTTCGAGCGACAGGCCTAGACTGTGGTGTTGGTGATTTTTACCGTTTCTAATTATCAAACATTGTCCGAAAAGAAATTTAATTTATTAACCCTGGCCTGTTTTTCCTTGTATTTGCCCGTGAATAACTCGGATGAGTTCAAACCAAGATTGCTGCCACAAATCTCATTATCTAGTTAGTATTTAAAAGGTTCTAAAACTCGTTAGAAGAGTATGGGAAGCTATATCTTTCAAAAGTTACATAGGAAAAGCCATTTGCTTGCTGATGTAACTAATTTAAAAACGTCGCGATCCGATTTGCACATATTTTGAAGACTCTAAAATCTCATCTCGTAAATATTTTGAATTCTGGCTTCAGAATTGGCTGGTTGACTTCAAAAGATAACTCTATCCAGTCCTATAGTTTTCTAGATCAGTGGTGCTTGTATATGAGCCTGAGAAAAAAAAGATAATAGCAGTCCTGTTTTAAGGGCAAGCTTTTCCAATAGAACTCGTTTAAACTCAAAACCATAAGCTAAGGCACTTTCAAAATTTGCTTGAGCCTGAGTGAATGAAAAAAGATGTAAATACCTTTCAGATTGAATATTATACAAATAATGAATGTTTATGAAAGCAATGGTAAGAATATTTTCACGAGGTGAAATATGAAATATGAAAATATTCTTACCATTGCACCAATAAAAACATTCATTATTTGTATAATATTCAATGTGAAAGGTATTTAAAGTTTTTTTCATTCACTCAGGCTCAAGCAAATTTGGAAAGTGCCTTAGGATTTCTCGACGAATCAAATTGGCGATTTTTGAATAAATTTGTAATGCAAAATACACGACTTCAAATTAAATTCAACCCTCCCCACGTCCGCCCGTACTGTTGCTATGACAGCATTGGAGTGAAAGCGCCTAATTCTGGACTGCGGTACATCTCATTTTTACAGTAATGTACCCCAGTACAGTCTAAGGTACCCTAATCTCACTGTATTTTGATATACTATAATGAGGGCTACATCAAGTCTATACCTCATTTTTGCTTAAAAAAACGGCGGCCTTGAAATCACAAATTTTCATGCATTCTTTTTGAATTTCAAGCCAGCACAACGCAAGAGATGGCTTGTTTAAAAGCGAAAGCTAAAGGAATGTATCGGCAGTATATTCTCGACAAATATTGGCGATTTTTATCGTGGAAATACTCGTAGTTCTTGTCAAAATCAAATCAATTGATTCAATTCTTGACAACAAAATGGTTTATAGTAGACAGTAGTGCTTTCACAGGTTTGTAAATTGGGCTATTCCAATTTTTATCCGCACCCCTGCACCCCTGTTGAGTGACCTTGGAATTTTCAGGGGAGAGGGTGCATTAACCTTGGAATTTCCAAGGGAGAGGTGCATTAACTTTCAAATTTCCAGGGTAGGGGCCGAGGCCCGAGGGGATACATTAACCGTAGAATTTCCAGGGGAGGGGGTGCATTAACCCTGGAATTTCCATGGAAGGGGGCATTCAGGCTGTGGAATTCCAAGGAGAGGAGTAATTTTCACATGGAATTTCCAGATGGAGAGGTACCCGACTGGAATCTTTGTTGTATGCCGGGAAGTTCTAATTCTCCGCGCAATTTTGATGCGTTCTAGAATATATATTTAGCCATTTAGGCCCAAAAAAAATATCTGGATTTCCTAGCTATTTCTTCTTGTAAAAACTTAGGTAGGGTAGGTCGCTTTTAACTTTTTTTTTAAACTTTTTTTAAAATTTTCCTAACAACCTGACGCCATTTTGTTTAGTCAGTGCTTCCACTTTCAAAGATAAGTTTCCCTAATATTGCCTCAAATTTCCATTTTTCACAAACGTTTTCCTCTAGGTGGAAACACTTACAAGCATGATCCAATAAAAAAGTTTAGGGTCGGGATTTCGGCGTTTAAAAGCTAGGTAGGGTCGGGAAACCGAAAACCCACATATTTTTTTTTGGCCTTACTATTAAATTTTCGAAATCTTCCCCGCGCAATTTCCAAACTTTTCAGTCAGGGAGGGGTAATTTTCATGGGATGGAAATCCCATGGGAGGATATATGTTAGATGGAAATTTCCGGGAGTAAATGTCCCATGATGGAAATTCTATAGCGAGGGGTAATTTACACATTAGACGGACGGCCAAGCTTGCAAAAAATGAAGTTCGATGGCAATTCTTTGTTAAAAGCAAGTAACATCGCTAAACACATTCGAACATGCATACTTATAATGGTTTGGGGTGTTACCAGGCTTAATTCGCAGTTTAAGTGCCATCCTCGTCCCCAGGCCCAAGCTCGGGCGGCCCTCACAGTGACCCTGGTTCAGGCTGTTGAGCAGTTGATTGTGATTGGCTCTTTTGCTCTAAAGGAATGTTGCGGGTGGGAAGGAAATGCGGGTTAACAATAAACAATGGCTGGCGCGAAGATTGGCAATTATTATATAAACTGGTATTAAATTTATATCGTAGAAATCAGATATTTACATGTAAATTTTTGCTTAAACTATGATATGGACAAGTTCAAGTCTGCTGGAAATAACTACATGGATATTTGAAGGATTAAATACATTTGAAACGAATTGAATGATAAAGTTCAAGAGACGGAATATCAGTCACATTCACGACTATGGAAATTATATTTGTGTACGCAACATCTGCAAGATTATTGTGTAAATTGTCGCCCTCCACCTATCTGTTTGCATCAACGCAATTTTATACATTGTATTTGACAATTTGAAGAGTCGAATTTAGAATGTTATCTACGAAAATGTAGTATTTATCAAGTACTTGATACACAAAGTTAATGGAAGCATTTTGTTCAGTTTGCACAATCACAATGCACAGTTCACAATGGAACCAGTGTTGTTTGAGAACCACAAGCTCGATTGTTTAATACCCAAGCCCGCAAATGTTGAAGGGATTTTGTAGATGGAATTAAACTATTGAATAAATTTATCCAAACTAGAATACAATCAGTAACAATTCATGATTATATTTAAGTAATTTAACCAATTATGTGTCAAGTCTGAGCTTATTTCACCATCAGAAGCATTTTAGCTACCTGTTGATAAAGTTTGTTTAATTTAACACTGTCACTGAAACATTTTATTAATGAATACACCGTTCTGGAAAGTACATCACTTTAACTATTCAGGTTTCGTAGTATGACATATCATCTTACAGGAATTCCTTTAGGAAATTTATCCTAATTTCCTATAGGAATAGTAAATGACACACAATGTTGTTCATCACTCTTAATTTTTTAATGCAAAAAATATATATATATATATAAATATTAATAAATACTAATATTACAAATTAATATAAATATATAAGAAATTGGTTATACTAAACATTGCAGATCAATTATAGTTTTCACTTATGGTTTAATACCAAGTCAAGGGGGGGTTACAACCGAAGAGAAATGTTTTTCTCTATTGCCCTTAGTAGGAAAGCTTCATAATAGGTTTTAGGTTTTATATATGTTAGGTATGTTATTATACGTAATATAAGCCTCAATTTAAGGTAAAATCCAACCACAAACGCTTCGCAAAACGTTTTAAAGTCACTAGTGTTCTTATAAAACTAAACTGCCTATTATTATTAAAATGGCTTTATCGATAAACTTTGAGTTTGCAATAAAATGACTTCAAATTCTCGCTTGCAAATAACTTTGCTTTCTTTTTTATTTATTTATATCATATAAAAGGGAAATCAATATTAAAGATACACTGAAATTATATGTTGTCTTGTTTAGTTGTTTCATGTACGCAAAGGCCGTCGGGTTTTAAAG